CGACTCTGAGGGCCAGGAACCCTGGGGGCCGCCCGGGGGGGGACCGACTAGACGCATAACCCCCCAGAGCCCCCCCGCTTCGCATAGATCGGGCCCCTATTCCGAGAGAGGCCCACGGGCTTCAAACCCACCGGCCAGATATATATATGATGACCTCCGGCCAATCTACACGCCGCCGCCGCCCTTCCTGAACTCGCCGCCGCTGGGCCCCGGCCTGCAGCCCCTCGGGCCGCCGCCGCCCGCCTACCCCTGCGGGCCGGGCTTCGGGGACAAGTTCCCGCTGGACGAGGCGGACCCGCGCAACAGCAGCATCGCCGCGCTGCGCCTCAAAGCCAAGGAGCACATCCAGGCCATCGGGAAGCCGTGGCAGGCCCTCTAGGGCCCCGGGGACCGTGGCGGGAGCCGTCGTCGGGCTGCGCAGCTGGCACCCGCACGCGCACCCTCCGCTCGGCCCTTTCTTTCCCCTTCCCGCCTGCAGGCGGCAGGCCAGGCTTGGGTCGGGGACGCGCTCCTGCCCCCCTGACCCCCGGGGGGAGGCCCGGGACTGTCGCTGCTGGCCGCGCCGCTCCTGTTCCCGAGGGCCTGGGGCCTCCAGACCCAGGGGGAGCCAGCCCTCTTGACCTTGGCCGCTCCCGGAAGGCGCGGCGATCCCCAGATAACGTCGACAAGAAGCAGGCGGCGGCAGAAAAATAGTTTGAGGACGTGTTCCTATCAGTAGTTTCAGAGAATCCGGGAGGAGAATTAAAGAGTGACTTGTTTTGGTTTGACCTTGGTGAAGCGCGCTCGGGAACACGAAGGCGGAAAAGTGCTGGGCGCGCGGGGTGGCTGTGCGGGACCCGGGGGGCGGGGAAAGCAGAGCGCTGTGCGGGAGCCCAGTGCAGACCCTGGGGACCCTTGGCGGCAGCGGAGAGTCGGGAGGGACCCTCGGCCGGCAGTGCCCTGCCCCGACGTTCTTCACCACCTGGTCCCGGGCGAGGGCCGAGCGTCCAGCAGCTCCCGGCGTCTTCCCCTCGAAGGTCGTTGTGTATCCCAGGGCTGGTGGACGGCGGCAGGGCCCCCTTCCTCTTCTGAGTCCTGAGCCTCTGCCCCTTGCCTCCTCCCCTGGCCCGGTATCCGGCATCCCGACCCAGCGTGGGCTCGGCTGAGGCGTGAAAAGCGGGTCCCGAGCGCTCCCCCTCACCTGCGCATAGGGATCTCGGTCCGCAGTGCCTTGGGGGCCTGCTCTGGGGGCGGGAGAGGAATCCCAGGGTCTCTGCCGGCTCCTCGAGGTACTGGGAAGCAGCGTCCAAGACTCCTGCGGGAGCTGCGGCGGCGTCCGCCTTTGACCCTGACTGTCCGGTCTGCCACCCGCGGCACCCACACCCGCGCCGCTCCGGTCCCCAGGACCCTCCCCACGCGTGCGCCTGCGATGGGACAGCCCGGAGTCTCCGCAGTCAATCGCTCGGGACTTGGCACATCGTGAAGCCCCCTCCCCAAGCCTCCTTTCCGGTCTAAATGGACCCTTGCCTCGACGGGAGCTGGGAATGGTGGCTAAGACCCCTGGGAAGACTTCGTGTGTGTTCCCAAGACGCACCGGCATTGCTCTCCAGTTCTGAACCCCTCCCCCCACCAGGGAAAGGGTGACCACCCCGGGGGAGGGGACCTAGCCCTAGCACTGAGGTTCTGAGAGGCTACCGCGAACCGGGAGGGCTTCACCCAGACCTCTGCCTGTACCGGGCACACAGCCAGCTGGGCAGAAAGTCCCTGGAATGGGCTATTCACAAGGGTGTCTCGGAGCAGGTGGGTGAAAGAAACAAGCGAACACAGGCTGATGTGCATGGAGATATTTCGGTTTGGCTTAGGTTCTCTTTCACCCTGTAGGGGCGGGGTTTAGCAGGCGTGATTTATTCAGGAAACCCACCTCCAACGTCACCAACACCTCCTCCAGGCAGGCAGGCAGGCAGGCTTGCTCTAGCCTTCTGTCCCCCCAGCCTCCTCTTCACTTTCTACATCTCCATGTCTACTTGCTCTGTTGCTCTCTTTCTACTCTTTCCGTGCGCAGACTCGGAACCCTTGGCGGGTACTCTTTCCCACTGCTGCCCCTCCCCCTCTGTTATGAAATGTCACCAGAGCACGGATGTTCTCCAAGACCCCTCTCTGGGCACCCACAGAGTAAGCCGGGTCTGGATTTCAGGCACACGTCCTAGGAAGCTGGTTGTAAGTCGCAACAACCACCCTGAAATACGACCTAACACGCAGGGCTTCCGGCCTGTGATCCGTCTTCTCAGAGGGTTCTGTGGAAGGGCGCACCGAAACCATACTGCAACCCTACCGGGGAGGAAAAACAGCCCCATCTCACAGATAAGGAAAGCGCGGGGATGTTGGAGCTCAAAGAACAAGTTCTCGGTCACAACGCACGTGCGGAAACCGCTGCCGACTAAGAGCTCGCTACCCTAGGGGCAGCTCCGGGAGCAGGGGCGCAGGTGGGGCGCAGGTGACTGCAGATGAGAAAGGCTTCCAATGAATAACACTAAAGCTCCCGACGACCCGGAAACGCTCGGGGCCCCGGGCTCACGTCCGTGGCTGCTGAAAGCGCTCTGCAGAGGCCGCGGCCGAGGCGGCGCGCGGCTTCCAGGACCAGGCAACCGTCTCGGGTCCGGGACCGGCACGAGCTCTCAGAGACCCCGAGGGAAAGGCCTCTCCCGGTAAGCCGACATCGCCCTCCCAATAACCCCGGCCCTAAGCAGGCTGCAGGTTTGGCTCCAGCGCTAACCAAAAGTGTCCGCCGAGGGGAGACGAACGCGGTGGGGGTGGGCTGCCGGGAGGAAGGGCAGCGCGTGGTCCCCGCCACGGCGACCTGGGTCAGGGCCTGCTCGGCTCCTGGGATTCTCCGAGGCAGCGCCCAGCAGGCGGGCGGGCGCGCCTTTCCCCGCGGGCTGGAACCGGGAGGCACTGGGGGCCTCGGGGGGACCCTAGGACCTCGAGGGCGGGGCGGCGAGGGCGCGCCGGGTTGGGCGGTGCCGAGAGAGGGACGGGGCCAGTCTCGGCCGCGCGCGCCGCCGGAACCCCCGGAATCCCCCGGCTCGCCAGCCGTCAGCCCTCGATCCTCGAGTCCGTCTTTGCCGTGGGGCGCGCCCCGGAATCCGCGCCGCGCGGCCCGAGGCCCCGCCGCTCCTGCCGCCCGTCTGGCTCTGGGCGGGTCCAGGCTGGTGCTAGCCGTGCGTTTCCAGCTTTGCGAAGCCAGTTTTGTCCTGGACGGATGATGGGTCTGTTGTGGGTGGGAGCTGAGAAAGGCCACTCGGAGGGGCGGCTTCGGCCGGAGGTCGGCGGCTGAACCGGGCCCGCCCGCTTCTACGGGGGAATTTTAAGCAGATGTTTACACTTAGGAGGTGCGACGTGCGCCTGGAATCCGGCGAGGGGCGGGCGGGAGGCGAGATTCTGCCGGTACCTGCCGCGGCCCACGTGCGGAAGGCTGGACTCTGCCTCCAGAGCCCCTCCCGCAGGAGGCGTGCGGTGGCGAGCCGGGGCTTCCGCGACGGCTGTGGCGCAGTCCTCGCCCACCCCCACTGCGGACCCCAGACCCTTCTTCCCGCTTCTCCCTGGTCCGCTTCCCGCCCCCGTGCTAAGCGCTCTTTTTCGCCCACCAAATCTTAATGTGGTACCAGAGCAGACTTGCAGAGGATGTTCACTAAAATCGGCGGTTGCGCTCTGCTCGGGCAGGTGGGTTCCCGCACCTGCGCGCGGTGAGCTCTCGTCCGCCCCAGCGTGCGAGCCGGACCCTTCCAGAAGCCGGGGGAAGCGCTTCGTGACCCACGTCGGCTCCCTGATTGGGGCCCGCTCTAATCATCTGCCCTCAGCTTGTTAACTGCACAATAGTGGGCAGAGTTAATGACTCATTACTGATTAATTCCTTAACCGCGCCTTAATTGCTTTCTGTAGAGCCCCCTTCGTACAACTGGATTAAATCATCTAGATCCTTGGCCGTGCCTCGCAGAGCGCTTTGAGACTGCGGGGCTCCGAGCCACCTTGAGCGCTCATTTCCTAATTACCAGCAGGTGTAGTGGCTGCCCGCCGGCCTGGCCGGGGGATCTGGGGTCCAGTCCTGGTTGTGACATGGCTGGCTGTGTGAAGAAGGCACCAAGTGTATGTAGTTCAGTAAGACGGCCTCTCCTCCCTGGCCAGCCCACCGTCCACATCCCCTCACCTCAGAAGCTGTCCTCTGACCTCACTTGGTGTGTGTATTCAGGTTAGTGGGTTCTGGGCGGATTTTGTACTAGGATGTCTTCCTGTCCCAGGGAGTCTGAGAAAGGGTTTTTCCAGTCCCCACAATGACTTGGGTCTATTGAACTTATGATTTATGTGAGAGAGCATGCGAGCTTCCACACTCAGGAGCCCTCTCCAGATGCCCACAGAGGTCTTGTGGGGAGCAACTGGGAGCAACTCGGACTAGACTGTTACTCGAATTAAGACTTATTCTATGCATCTGCTCTCCCACAATATGGCGCTGAGAAGGGAAACAGCTTCTACACAGCTGCCTCCAGTTCAACCAATAAACAGCAGGACCTGCTCCTGATTGGAGGAGAGCACCGTACTCGGCGTGTGGGTAGCAGAGTTGGGATTGGTGGAAGAGGACTATAAAGGAGGAGAGAGACAACATGCACCAGGAACATCTAAGGGGAACATCTATCTGAAGGAACACCTGAGCAGCCCCCGAGAGAGCCGGCCTGCGGTGTGCCGCTCCCCCGCGGAAGTGGGGAAAGTGGCAGGGGGAACCACCCTTCCACGGAGGTGGAAGGGTCAGTAGCCAACCCGGGAAGAACCAGCAGCAAACCCGGGGAGGGCCGAGCAGACAGAAGAACAGCGCAGGGTCCTGTGTCCTTCCTCCGCGAAGAGGGGGAGCGACATAATGGTGCCGTGACTCGGATAGGAAGCCTAGGCAGGGTTTAGTGTCGTTCCTCCACGAAGAGGGGGAGCGACAGGTCTCAGAAGCCAGGAGCAGGAACACAATCCAGGTCTCCCACCTGGGTGGCAGGAACCTGATTACTTGAGCCGTCACTGCTGCCTGCTGGAGTCCCTATTAGCAGGAAGCTGGAACCTGGAGCAGAGCTGGTGTTGAACCGTGTACTCCCATATGGGATGCAGGCGTCTTAGCTGGTTTTAACCCACTGGACTAACCCTCCCCTCAGGGATGGAGATATATAGATATATATAATATATATAATATATAATATATATATTTAATCCCTGCTAGTTTTTTCCACCTTCCTTCCTGCCATTTTTAAATTAAATTTAATTTAATTTAATTTTATTTATTTATTTTTACAGGCAGAGTGGACAGTGAGAGAGAGAGACAGAGAGAAAGGTCTTCCTTTGCCATTGGTTCACCTTCCAATGGCCACCGCGGCTGGAGCGCTGTGGCCGGTGCATCACGCTGATCCGAAGGCAGGAGCCAGGTGCTTATCCTGGTCTCCCATGGGGTGCAGGGCCCAAGGACTTGGGCCATCCTCCACTGCCTTCCCGGGCCACAGCAGAGAGCTGGCCTGGAAGAGGGGCAACCAGGAAAGAATCCGGCGCCCCGGCCGAGACTAGAACCCAGTGTGCCTGTGCCGCAAGGCGGAGGATTAGCCTAGTGAGCTGTGGCGCCGGCCTCTTCCTGCCATCTTTACCCAATATGGAGATATTTAAAAGGCATGGTGGGCATGCGATGATAGAGAAAAGTCTGGACACTCAGGAAGCATTACCAAAGGAGGAGAAATAAGAACCCAGCTGTACAGAGTCCTTCAAAATA